TCTCTCAGAGAAGCAGAAAAGCGCCCAAAGGAGCCACAACCTTTTTTTTTTGGCAGGAGTACGGACGCCATGTGGGCAGTGTGCCCAGGTCATCATGGGAAGGATGGAAACTCTGCATATTCGTAAGGGGAGCAAACCGAAAACCAGAGAACCAAACACAAAAACAAAACCCAAACCCCAAAAACAACCCCAAAAAACACCAGCGCCAGAGGACCCCAACAACCAATGTGGGCAGAGTTTCGACTGTACTAAGGTGAGACGTGTGAAACATGAGAGAAATGTTGAACTAACTAGCTGGGCCTGAATTCGAAGTATGCAACACACTGTATCAGGACTTCGACTTGTTGTCCTTGAAGGCCATTCGCCAGTGGCCTTCGAGAGCAGACAAGGGGCAGGGTCGCCCTTGCCAGGTTAGGTTGCAGAGCCACAACCCAAACAGACACAAAACAAAAAGCAGAGCCGAGAGAGGAGGAGATTCGAAGTCTGTACATGCAAAGTGAAACATTGTGAAAAGTAGCGTACAGCGCACGTGTACAGCGTATGGCTCACCTAGTGCTTGCTTCTTTAGGGAATTTTCGTTTTTAGAGTGCTTGGGGTTGGAGCTGAGTGGAGGTCTGTGCCCTTTTTGTGTTTGACCTTTGACCACCTTAGCAGGAGGATGTTTGAAGTGGCAACCTGTGGCTAGGACGCTGGGAGTCACAGGGTGGTGACCTCAGTCACTGTCGCTATGGCTTGCCCCCTTTGTTTTTACACCCTCAAGCTGTTAGACACCCCACCAAGCCTGAACAACAAACTTTTTCAAAGTTTGGTCAAAGTTTGTCCAAGAAGCTCGGGATTAGTTGACCACAGTCTGGTGTACCAGATGCTGACGACCATTGCCTCAAGCTCTCCTGCATGAAGCAGCTGCACGGTGCCTTGGCTCAAACAGAAAGTGCCCTACAGTGCGATCGGCCTCTTTCCAACACCCATGGCTACTGAAAGTCTCTCCCAAGTCAGCGCTCCAGCAGAATCTGAAGAAAGAGCTACTGTACAGCTTGCGCTAACCACTCTTGCAGGTGAAGAGTGTCTAGATAGCTTCTTGGAGATTTCATCTTTTGCAGTTGATTGCAACCTTGTGTACTTGTCAGGTCTTGAGGTTGAGGTTTGCACGGCTTTGTAACTCTAGATAACCCTTTTGAAATCCTGAGCTGACAGGTAAGTTGTCCTTGAATGCTTTTGCTTTTGAGGATCCCGATGATGAGGCCAGAAGGCCACGCAGAAGGGATCTGACCCTGAGATCTCATGGCTGGCCTCTGAGGGGTCCTTTTTTTTACACGTTTCTTCCTTGCTTGAATGCGTGTTGGTTGAGGGTTGAAGTTGGCTCTTTGTTGGATCTGAAGTTCTGCTTGGGTTGGACTCGAGTTTACCTCTGGATTGATACCATTGAGATCACCTTTGAGGGCAAAAGTTTGGATCTTAGTTGATGTCTGATCCTTAGTTGCTCAAAAAAACGAATAGAAGAAGAGAAGAAGACAGAAGAAGAAAGAAGGTAGCGCTATGCGACCCAAGAAGGGGTGTGAAACATAGCGTACAGCGCACGTGTACAGTGTATGGCTCACCTAGTGCTTGCTTCTTTAGGGAATTTTCGTTTTTAGAGTGCTTGGGGTTGGGGCTGAGTGGTGATCTGTGCCCTTTTTGTGTTTGACCTTTGACCACCTTGGCAGGAGGATGTTTGAAGTGGCAACTTGTGGCTAGGAATAGCTTAGAGAACCTTTCGGTAGAGCACGAGGTCTTAGGAGACTGTTGGAGATAGTCCCTTGTAGTTTTTTGTGTAGCATTGAGATGACTATGGGTAGTCTTGTACTCTTTTCAGGAGAGTGGAGAAGCTTAAGAGAAGCTTTGAGAACGTTTGAGACAGGCTACACCGACTGTGACTTTGGCTCAAGGAGCGGGATCGAAGAGGAAGCTTGCGCTACTGTGTTTTCACACCCGACCGCGCGGATGAGGGCTGATTGTGGTGGGGCTGCAAAAGCTGTTGCTGTCTTCCAAGCAGCAGCGGCGGGACAGTTGTCGCGCTGCTGCCTCTGGTGCAAGCAAGCATTGAGCCCAGAGCACCACTGCTCCTGTCTGGTGAACCAAAAAATGGCCAGATCTGACAGGTGCTGCAGGCTCTTCCAAAAAACATCAAAAGTGACATTAGTGACGTTAAGGCCTGGCTGAGTTGCTTTGAGGCGTCATCCGGAACCCACCAGTGCGAGACTTGAAACCATTCGTCGTTGCCATGTGCGACCTTGGGTCGTTTTCATCCTCAAGTCGCGGTCCAAAGGAGTTTGAGGCATCGGCGCTTCAGTTTGTTCTTGGAAAATCCTAAGGCATCGTTGTGCCAAAGATGTTTGAAGTTCATGTCTATGTGTGAAGATGCACGCTGTGCATCGAAACGCAACCATCCGAGAAGGGTGGGCTCAAATGGCTGAATGGTCGAGTGATGTTCCATGAGTGTCACCAAGTTCCTGGCGACCAAAAACGCCACACCGTGCACCGTTCTTCAGTGCACTCAGTGAGACGTTGCACAGAGCAGAAAAGTGGTGCCTGAGTCAACCACCCCAACTTCCTCATGAACTGGCCCAGACACGCTGGATCCTACGTAACGAGCCTCTCTCGCACCTCCAGTTGGCCTCTCCTCAGTCAGCCAGCCCTGACCATCTGAAGCCAATGACCTCCTTTTGCTTCTGAAGGTGAAGAGAAAGAATCAGCTGGAAATTTTGGTGTTGGCAGCGGTCGGCCTTGAGCGCAAAGCGCTTTGTTCCAAAAACTCCGAGATGGTGGAGTTCGTTGTGAATGCCTCCGGCCTGAACATCGAGGTCTCTTTGACAGAACCAATTTGAAAAAGTCAACTACTTCGTTCTCCAATGCGGCAGTTCGAGCATGTGCTGACAAAGCTGAGCAGCTCTTCAAAGTGGACGCTTGATGCGATGCAGGTGGGTTTTTGACGTGGAAACCCACGCCAGAAGAGTCTTTAGAAGATGCTCAGATGGTAGCCCGTCAGGTCCTGGTGCCGAGTCCTTGGTGAGCAGAAGGTGCTCAATATAATCTTGCTCAGTAGGCTCAGGAATGTGTGGCCAGGGAGAGACACACCGTCGGTAAGCCGAAAGCGTGTCATGCCAGTCCCTATCATATCGGATGGGATGCGTAAACCAAAAGTCACGAGTAGCAAGCATGGCTTAAACCACACCCGTGCAAATGCAGCAGGGCCATGCTTTCTGTGGTGGCCAGTGCTGGCAACCGCAAACGAGTGGCCGTCCTAGCCAATTGAGACCTGCCGGTCTTCCGAAGACCACCACGAGGACCTCCATCTGTGGTGTACTTTCGCCATATCTTCAGCAATTCCGTGGGCTGAAAGACTTGGAGAGGTTGCCGCACTTTCGTTGCGAAGCTTTGTGAGGACCTGTTGGGATCTCACCTTTCTCGCAATGTCCTCGGCAGACTTTCTGTTCAGGAGAAGTTGCGCAAACTCACTTCCAGGAACTGTAGGTGTCACCTGAGCCATACTTCTTTCATCTTTTTCAGTGAAGCTGAACTGCTTGCCATAGACCCATTGGTGAGGAGTAAAACCGTGAACGTGCTCTGTGGCATTCAATGAGTGGGTCGTGAGGGCAATGACAGTCTCAGGAGCTAACACCGGAAAGGAAAGTTGAACCTTACTAGCAACCGCCTTGGACTCTTGGACATAGCGCTCCACATGGCCATGTGCCCAGCTTTCTTTCGGAGCTGGTGGTTCGAGGCGAATCCACAAATCAGAGAAAACTGACTTGGCATAGGCACTGACCATTGACTTGGCACTGTCCGGGATGGGGATCTCCATCTTTGGCTTGTCAGCAAGCCAACATTTGCAGACAGCATCCACAACCATTTGAGCGCTTTCAGCTTTCATTTCATAAGCACCATACTTCAGAAGGACATGGGCAGTCTTGAATTTTGTTGCCAAATCCATCATCAAGAGCACCTTGTACTTGTGAGGGTGGTTTGGAGGTGACCACTCGCAAGTGTCCATGCCAACAACCTGCCAGGCATTTGGCAGAGGTCTGACAGAAGCTGGAGGAATTTTGGCACTGGACGAGCCACCAAGCTTCAGCGCCTGGCAATCATCACACGTCAACTCCAAAGCAGCTCGAGCTTGCCAAGCGGGACGTCCAGCTTCCTTGACAATACGAGCCAGATTGTAGGAGTTCGGATGTCCAGCCGTGTTGTGGTACTTGAGGAGTTGATGGCGCCAGGTTTCAAGTTTTTTGGCCGTTGGTTGAGGCTCATGCGACGTCTGCTCATAGTCATCTTCAATCTCTTGAGGACAGAGCAATTGGGCTGAGATCTCAGCCATGCTCAGTTCTTGTGGTTGAGGATCAGAAAGTCGATGGAGCCAACGGTCAGGATATAGTTCAACACAGGTTTTGCACCGGTATTGGGAAAAGAAGTGACCTGAGGTGGTCTTCACGGTCCAAGCTTTTCTCAAAGCCATACCATGGCTGGAAAGCAAGCCATACCTGCAGCCATCAATTCTGCAGGAGTGCCAACTGCGGTCTAACTTCCAAAGCTCATTCTCCAGGACTTGAAGCCAGTGCTCATTCCACCCATAGCAGCGAGTGGGCCATTCCCAGAAGACATCCACCTCCGGGTCATTGGAGACAATGTCGAGGATGAAGGGGATCAAAAGCTTGAACATAGCTCTTTCTCGACGTCGGTGTTTGGCGAGCTCTGCTTGCCGTTCAATGCCTTGGTAGTTCAAACTGGTCCATGAACACCAGTAGGTGCATCTAGTGGAAATCCATAGTCGCCGGGGTCGCTCCTTCAGGTACTTGGTCTTGAGGAGCTCATAGGTCGCCGGCTTGTAGACGTCACAGCCTTGATGAAGATTGATGCGCTGACACTTGAGACCTTCTTGCTCACAGGCGGCTGTGAGCCAACTGGTCGGTCCACAAAAGAGTTCCCAAACGTCAACATGGTCTCCTCGGAGAAGAGTTCGTAGTTCAACGTGAGCCGATGACAAGAGGAGAGCAGTTGCGGCTTGAATCATGGCCTTCACGGTCATCAACTGAATTCTTTTTAGTTTTGGCTTTCACTGCAAAGGTGTCCTCCAGGGTGATGGGAACGTTGCCCTCCTCATCCTCAGAGGAAGAAGTGCGCTTTGAATTCTTTTTCTTGGTTTTGTTTTTTTCTTGTCATGCATGTCTGTCTTCAAAGGGACAGGTGGATCCTCCTCCACAGGATCCGTCATAGGCGCATCAGGCTCAAAGCGAACCTGCTTGTTCACGTCCTTCATGAGGAGCGGGCTGGACTGGTCGTCGCTGAGATGATGCCCGATGGGATCAGCTCCACTTCCGAGTCGCCGTCCAAATCCACAGGAGTCTGCTGGGCCTGAAGGGCACGGGATCGAAGATGTTCCCGCTCGGCTGTTGTCATGAGAGCCAGCAGCAGTTCGGCCTCGGTGGCCTGAGGCGTCGTCGTGGAGATCGGCGCCTGAGCAATCAGGGAATGGTACAGCTCTTGGAAGCTCTTCTGCTGGAGCTCGGCCTTGGACAGCTGAGTCTGGAGTCCTTTGATCGAACATCTTCATGGTGAGGTCCACCAAGGTCTGGTCCGGTCAGCGGCCGGTCGGGAGGTCGGCTTGAAGCTTCTCCAGGGCCTTCTTGACAATGACGGGGTTCACCTGAGCTGCCGACTTCCCATGGTACCCCTGTCGAGGCACATAGCTCACCCTCATTCCGCACACCACACATGACTTCCATCCGGCGAATCCGTTGGAGCTCTGAGGGCTCTCGATGTGCTTGCCGTAGCAGGGCCATTGAGTCTTCTCGCTGCGCGGATCGTCCTTGCTCACTCCGGTCTCTTTCTCGTAGTCGAAGGGAGGCGCAGTCAGAGACTTGGACTTGACTCCCTTGGCACGAGGATTTGGAGATGCCATCCGAGCTGATGAGCGATCGAGAAGGATCTTGAGCACTCGGTGAGGCTGAAACATCCAAAACAGAGGCGTGTTGCAAGGACTGACGCCTTGAAACAAAGCTCCAAAAAAAACGAGGATGCCGTACGAGATGCATGGTCATGACTCTCGTGAAAATGTTTTGGTGTGCTTTCAAGTGTTGCCAGCTCAAACCACTCCGTTTCACCCCACTGGTTCTCTGGGTAGCCGCCTGAGCTGCATAAGCTGCTTTTGGCGAGGCTTCTGGAGATCTTTGGACCTGAGACGCCGCTTCCAAAGCAGAAGTGCCAGTCATGTACTGGATGATGTCAATCATGTAGTGTCCCTTCATATTCTTCTGCAAAAAGAAAGCGGAGGGGTCTTTGGTGTTGGCGAAAACCGCATGACCGTCAGCAAAGTCCAAAATCAAACCAACCTTACTCATGAAGTCCATGCCAATGAGGATAGGGACCAACATAGTTTCAGAAAACCAGTGTTGTTGCGCTTCAGGAGGGTCCGGCAAAGCATACATAGAAAAACTAGGAGAACCAGCATGAGAACTCTCAAGGCTTGCCCCCATTTGCCACTACCATATCGAAAGTAAGGCCTCTTGGTGGGATCAATGGCAACCTTCACTGCGGGGTCTGCTTGCCGCAAGAGGGACACCAGCCTTTTCACAGATGTCTCTGGTCCAGCGCTCGCTGTGGCGCCGCAATCCAGCATGCCAAAGCCGGTTGGGAGAGCTCAAGAGGCATGAAGGAGAGTTCATCCGGTTTGTTCTCAAAAACAGAAAAACCACACTCATCAAACAGAACTGCATGAAACTCCAAAAAGGTGCAATCCAGCATGCTATATGCATTGACGGAGGGTTTTCCCGGTGACTTGCCTTTGCCCTTGCCCTGAACATGGTGAACTGGTCATAACCAAAAGGAGCTTGCGGGATTGGCCACTCATCTTGCCAAGACACATAAGCATTCCTGGCTTTGCCCTTAGACTTGCCAAGCGACTTTCCTTTTCCTTTCAGGCAAAGGAACTGGTCCAATTCAGCTGGAGACAAGAACTTCCCGGATCCCTTGCGCGGTGCTGACTTATCAGGACAGTCCTTAGCAAGATGTGGTCCACCACAAACGAAACAGCCACTGTTGGACGAGCTAGAGTGCTGTCCGAAGCCACGATCTCGTTGGGGGGCGGCCGTGGCTTTCTGAGCCTGTGACCAGGTTCGGCGAGCTTCCATGGCCATGGCTTCTGCAGCCTTTTCCTGTTCCAGCATGTCCTGAAGCTCTGCATCGTCTGCCTCATGAGAGCCGGGCACAAGCTGCCATTGCTTCTGAAGGCCAGGTTGACCAGTGGGAACCGTCATCATGGTACCATTCATCATCTCAAACTGCATACTGGTTGTGCCATGGGTCCACTGTCCACTGCCTGCTCAATCCAGTGGTTGCTGAAGGATCGCTGAGAGGTCTGGTGACTCTGTCGATAGCCCATCAACTGTTCATCCCACAGAGTAGTCAGAGCATCAGCGATCTTTTCGTATTCCAGCTTGTTTCCTGTCGTGGCCAGGATGTCACGCCACTGCTCTTGAGTGAGGGAAGCCGCCGCAAGCAATCTCCAGCCTTGGAGGACCTGCATCATGAAGGAGTCTTGAGGCCCAAGAGGTGAAGAATACCTAACAACTTGTGCACGCTGAGTAAAACCCAAATCAGAAATACCTGTGGCGCCAACTCTATAGCTGCTGGGATGGTTCTTCCCACACTGGTGAACCCGGTCAGGTTACTGGGGCTTGTGCTCTGGGAGGACTAGCTTCTCCAGGGTCAGACTGAGGAACACCAGCATAGCCATCCTCGCGCTCAGGAGCGCGATGACCGCCGTCTGAGCCATCCGGCGGTTCCCAATGCCGCCATTGATAGCGATCAGACTGTCTCCACAGGCGACCGTCATGGTCAGACTCATCAGGATGAGGTGACATGTCGGGGAGGTCAAAGTTGCGAAGCGCAGGATCATGACCTTCTTTCTCTTCTTTCAACTGAGCCAGTGCTTCTGCAAACTCTTCAAATCCTAAGCTTTCACGAGCCAAAAACTGAGCGATGGGTTCTTGTGGTCGACGCTTGAAGGAGAAGTACTCCGACATGATTGCTGCAGCATTAGGCAACGACTTCCTGACCAACGGACTTGCCGAAAGACGTTGTAGCAACACTTTCACACCATCAGGGCCTACAAAGTCCTTCTGTGACCAACTCATGGCCAACAACCTAGCTGAGCCACCCAGACGACTGATCGTGTCAGAGCCAAGTACTGCCTCTGTGCTGGCTTAGTGCCACCAGCAAACCAGGAGACCTCTTTGAGGTATCTACGCCAAGTTCGACTGGAGCCATCCCAACTCGGGATCTTCGAGTCAGTTCCATCCTTGGACATCATATTGCCACCACGAAGTCACGCAGGGTAATTATTCAGGTACTGGAGCTCAATGCCAAAGGCAGCTGGAGCCGTAGCTCCGCTACCAATGCAGGCAGCTTCAAATGATGTAGGTTCTGGATGGAATGGGACTCAAATCCCGATGCACGACCAACTCACGCCAAGACACAGTGCACTGCAACTGTCAAGCAACTCAATGCAAAGAAAAACGCGCAATGCCGCCACGATGATGCAACCTTTGCCGCGCTGGAACAAAAAGCCTTCTTTAGGCTAGATCCATGGGGTTGCCGTGCTTCGCATGGCGCAAGGGCGCCCTAAGATTTGCAGCCGAGAGGAGCCGAGGTGGACTCATTGAATTCAACCTGCACAAGACTGGATTGGTCACAATCAATTGCGGATTGTTGAGTACGACCTGGTTTTCATGGTGGCCAAGAAGAAACGCTACCTGACTGCCAGACCCAGGGCCTGACAAAGGGGCACCTGACCCCATCCCTTCAAAAGAGACAAAGCGCGCATTCGTAGTAAGCGAATGAGACCAAATTGTGTTAAGATTGGTTCTCTCATGTTCCCGGCGCCGTTGGTTCTTTTGGCTTGGCTTGATTGATTTGTTTGGCTTGCTGGTTTGGTCAGATTGGTTCAGTGTTGAGGTGTGTGCATATGGAAATCGGGTTTGTTGCCTTTCTTTGGGATATGTTTGTCCCAGGTGGCGGATATTTTATTGTACGTTGACATAAAGACTTCTATTCTCTCGGCGGATCGTGTGCTGATAGTCTGATAGCCTTGTTCTCCCAGTAATCTTGGGGCCCAAGATCCAGCAGATGCACGTCCATCACAAAACGAAATCACCATGCTGTCTCTTTAAGATGTGGTCTTGAAAAGCTGGCGCAGCCCGAACACCGCAAATTCATTCAGATGCGTCGATGCATTGCACCCCACAGGTCTCCAAATAAGTGGTGTTTTGCTCATGGAACGACCGAAGAAAAAGAAACTCAAGCGCAAGGCTGGCGGGATGTGGGAAAAACATCGGATCGATTGGGTTCTATCGTAGCGACGGACAGGTCACAAACATCCCTCTCCAATTCTTCCTTGAAGGAGAGAGTTATGGTCAAACGAAAGGAGAGAGTCACTCTGAACCTGTCCACGGATTATATAGTGATGATTGCAAAAATGGGCGCACTAGGAACAAGAAGCTATTAGGGGCTTTTGGCATCGCTACTAGGAGCAAGGACGCTACTGGGAACAAGAAACTACTGGTGTCTGGCCAGGTCGAAGCTGACAGTTGGAATCCTCAGACGAGCGGAGATGAAGGGCGGAGCTGGTGGAGTGTTTCATGTTGGTTCTATTTTTCCACTTGGAGGTCTCCTACTGAGTCGTGGTTTAGGTTTGTTCCGAATTCTGAAGCACATCTATGGCTTTCCAAAATCACCCGGTTGGAACTGATTGTGCCATCCGATGCCTGCAGTACATCCCGTGCCTACTGACGAGGGTCTAAACCACTACTACGAATCAGATCAGACCGATCAGTGCGTGTCCAGAGATCGCAGTTTTTGCGCTTCAGGAGATGAAGAACTGAACCCAGGCGCTGCACGGCGCTCGGACTTTCACACGAGAGTCTGGCACGGACCGCTTCACTTATGGTTTCTGTCATCAAACCACGGGGAATTCCACAAAAAAAACACATGTTGAACCTGGTGTCTCCTCTGAATGATTCCACCTGGTATGCCCTTTTTATAAAAGAACCTTTGGGCTAACCTGGTCAAGCCTTTAACTAGACGAGAGCGAAGAGCCGAGGTTCTTGATTTCACTTGTTTGGCAATGTTTTCAGCAAAGTATATACTTCTTTAACATTGTTGGCGTACCTTCTATTTTCTGTTTATCCTTAATTTTCACTTATCATTAGTTTTCTTTGCTGCGACGCCCGCATGCTTTCCAGCATAAACCTGAGCCAACTGCGGCCAGTAGTGCACCTTTAGCAGACCCCAGAAAGGAGCATAGTTTATCCGCCAGGGGAACGTTCCAGCAATCGGACGAGGTGTTTGCGAATCCCAAACCCAGGCGGCCTGCCACTGCACTCCCCAAAAGTCTTTGGACATTCAGTTCTGTGGGTGAACAGCTGATTTTGGGCTAGCATTCTTCCAGTAGCAGCTAGTAGAGCTTGGCCAATTTGTTAGTCTTATTTTTCGAGATTCTACCTTTGTTTGTGGGAGACTACAAGACACGACTACACATCGGGTTTTTCCTTGTTTCCTTGCACGCACGCTGAAGAATGGAATGCTGGCGGGTGGGCAGGCTTGTTGTTGAGTGACTTCATTGACAGCGTTGTTCAGCCCGGAGGCTTTGTGAATTCACGGCTTAGTCCAAAGCCCTTTGAATCCCATTCTGGTTCTCGAGGGGTTGTGCCATTGAGGACTTGAGTTTGCACAATCTTTTTCCAGTCAGAAATCCTATGTGAGCAAAGTACAGTGGTCCTATTTTCTGGGAGTTTTGGTGTAGAGGGACATGGGTCCTCTTCAGTAAAAGTCAGTTCACCCCACCAGCCACCAATTGGCAATGGTGCGGTGGAGCCAAGTGGATCCCAGTTGACGACCCTGAACGATTGGATCTCAACCTTCGGGCCCGTCGGGTCCTTCCCTTTGGGTCTCAAAATCGGGACCTAATAGCGATGACCTTCAATCTAATAGCTTTATACAAGGAAATGTCCAAAGGATGCCCTGTGAACTCCGGAAAGATGTAGACAGCTCCTCCACAGTAACGAATCACTTCAAACTCGTTGTGGAATGCGTTGACAGTGAGCCTTTGGCGACCGCCATATTCTTGTGATTATTTGCTAGTTACTAGTAGTAATGCCCTTGTTACTAGTAGCTTCTAGTTACTAGTAGCGTTGCACTTGTTACTAGTAGCGTTTTGTGAAGTAAGAGAACCACAAACACCTCACAATGCCCGGCTGTACATGAATCCATTTGCATTCGTGATCCGGCAGAACATCCCGCTTCCGAGGCCACCGAAGGTTGCAGCGCGGAAGAGGACCTCGAAAAAAGAACCTCGGTTTTCACTGTTTTCCAAGGTCCCTCAGAACCAACTGTTGGCCGTCGGCCAGTTCAGTTGAAAGCCAACCAAATCGCTAGTGCAAGCTTTTCTTCAAGGAAGCTGCCCCCGCCATCCTGCATCCTAGCTAGGAGCGAACTATTACTAGTAGCATACCTCGCTAAAAACAAGCAAAACACCGAATGAAAAACACTGGCCAAAAAGGCAAAAGAGACTCTCGGCACCTGGCCTATTTACAGTCCTTTCAGTAGGATCTTACTTTTACTTGCTACGTCTGCTACGTCCTTCTTTAGTTTATAATTTCCGTTTGGTGAACCACAGAAGTTAAGTTAAAGAGTCTCCGTTTCTCAACTCTGCGTCACGCACATGGATGAAATACAGTCCCTGGATTCAAACGCGTTGCTACGTGCAAAGGAAACACGTATCAGCATTTTTTGGTTCCGCAAAAATACAACTCTCAGGAACCCCCATATCCAGCAAACTTCCCAACCTAGATCTCAGTCTTGAAATCGGGTAGTTGGTATCCTTTCAAACCTATTTATATGCTTGATGGAGATTTTGTTGCTCTCCCTCTCTTGCGAGATTCCTATCACGATCCTATGATCTGAAATTAAAACTACAGCGCCACATGCCCTACGCAGATCTTCACCCTATTCCTTACGCTGCGTGAGGAAGAAGGCGAAGTCGCAGAAGGAACAAGAGGCACCTAGCTGGTGGAGTTTGGGGTTTTCAGAAAAGATTGTTGTTGCCAAAACACCGCATGAGATGGCATACTTTTTTACTCAGTTGCCACTATTTTGTGCGCAAAGGATGCAGAAGCCGGATTTCTTAGCCTGTTTGGTTTGCTGCACAAAGACCTGGAGCACCAGAAGCATTTCTTTATAGAAAAAACCGTATAGATGGCATCACGAAAAAGCGCTTGAAAATGCGATTTTCGTGATCTTAGTACTCCCCAGAAAGGGGTCGAACAGGGCACCGGAACAGGGACAGCCACCTTTCGGGGGCAGGGGGAGCTTCCTTGAAAAAGCGTGAGCTATCCTGCGTCCAAGGTAGTAGCGTTCTTGCAGCTACTAGCTACCTCATACTAGCTACGGCCTAAGCCCCCTCCGGGGCTTAAAATCAAGAGGTTGGTAATTTGTTGCCACTGTTCTTTGTCTTACCGCTGGCAGATTAGAAGGATGTCCTCCAGGAGCGGGACTCCAACGTGATGCTTTTCGATGCGCATCGGAAAAAAGGCTTAAAGAAGGTTTCCAAGTGATTTCCCACTTGTCGACCCGTGGTGCTGTCTTCGAGGCTCCAGAAGATGACCTCGAGCTGGAGGAGACTGGAAGAGACCTCACTTGAAGGGGCCTGGGCGGCGGCGGCGGCCTGCGGAATTGTTCGTGTGAGGAAGACTCGAGCTGTCTCACTGTGGTGGTTTCGACATGAGTCTTGATGAGTCTTGATACACTTCTTCTGAGACCCTTCAGATTTCCAATGGAACAGACTGTCGATGTTCTTCCTTGATCTTTTTGTGTTTTGGTTGGATGACCAGGACGAGGCTGCAGATGAGGTTGCGGAAGTTGACGAACAGGACCACCGTCAATGTATACTGTATATACAATATATACCTCTCTCTCTCTCTCTCTTTCTCTTTCTCTTTCTCTCCATTATATATACATGCTTTTATTTTTACTGTATTCTTCAAAGAAGGAAGTGCCCTGGTTCTTCAAATCCGGCCCTTGGCTGCTGTTTGATGCAGCTCCTTTCGTCATTCCGTTGGACCTTCAGGATTTGGAATTTCGAAAGGAACTGGGATCTGTCGACAGAAACAGATTCAGCGCTTGCTTCACAGGCGGCCGAGCGGCTCTTGGATACCATGAAGTCCTTGGCCGAGGACGTGAGTTCGGCTCACGGAGTGGGCTTGAACGACGCTGGAGGGAACGTGCATTTTCTGGATTTGGAGTGAGTAGTCCCCTTGAGGGGAAGTACAGGGACCCCAACCACCAATGTTCATCTAACATCTCAATTGTTGGATCTGGCCCTTTGGGTCTCCTCTCTTGAGGCACACACATCTGCATTGATACTATCTCCCCAATAGGATAGCTAGATAGTGCCTCTTCTACCCATCAGTCAGGGTGAAAGAAAGAAAGAAAGAAAGAAAGACAGAAAGAAAGCATGCTTTCCGCTTTCCTGTCTCTTGATGGAAAATATCGTCTCTGCAGAATGCAGGAACGGCCGGCCTCGCCAGAGAGAAAACATCAGGTTGGGAATTGTTGTGCAGGGCTGCAGATGTTGTGAAGAGACATCGCCAATTGGCACGGTTGTCCAAAGGAGTTGGCTGAACCATTGCGCTCCCATCGATTTTTACTCCCTCCTTTGGCTCCCAAGTCCACCAAGTGACCAAGGGTCGTCGTCCCAAAGGGTCCAGGGTCTCCTTGTCCTGTGCATGAAAACACGGCCGCAAAGGCATGGTGAAGATCCTGAAGGACCAACACTAGGGCCGATCCTGATGACCTCAAAGATCTGGATCAAGTTCTGGCCTCTCCTTGGTCTGGTCGGTCTGTGGTCTAAGACTTCAGAAAACTGAAGCTCGACAAAAGCTGGGTGTCAGCTAGCCATGGCCTCCAACCTAAGAGCGATGGCCTCCCACCTACTAGCAATGGCCTGCAGAAACTGTGTTCTTGAGATAGTTGTGAGGCTTGAAATCGCAAAACCAGAAAAAGCAAAGCCAAGATCAGCCAAGATGTTCTCCGCGCAAGTCTCGACGATTCGGAGGCTGAGCCGGAGAACGAGTACCACCTGCCACCCGTGTCCGCAGTGACCGTGGAGGACACCAAGCCTAGTAGCTTCTTGTTGTGACGGGGTACTGAAGCGAGTCAAGTTCGGCCATTGGGCGAGTCAAAGACACCCGTTGACTTCCGTTGACTTCCCCATACCAAACCTCCTCTTTGGGGTTGCGCCATCTACGTTCATTTGGTGGGGATTGAAGGGAATAGACATTTTTTTGTGCAGTTGTCACAGCTTCTTTCACCCACATGCAATCTGTCGTCCTTGCAACCTACTGGGCACTGGTTCATGTGGCTGTACTCTGGATGAAGGCGACCCGACTGGTTGCACCAACTGACGGGTGATTTTGTGGAAACCAGGGCCTTTGAGTTTTAAGCCTGGACTTGAATGGCTCCGATTTCAGAACACGCTTTGTAGGTTCTTGTTGGGACCTTACTTAATCAAGCCCCCACTCATGGCAAGGCAACTGCATTTCTCTTTGCCATGTCTTCTCCACAGCAGGAGTCTTTCAGTGGGGCTTTGAAACTTGACAGAACAATCTAACAAACTCATGGAATGTTACTTTGGTGTCCGCTTCGAACATGCGGGAATCGGCATTCAGACGATGAGAAGATACCTATCGGACCCTTTGCTACTAGTAGCAAGAATGTTAGTAATAATGCCAGGAGCTACTAGTAGCTTCTTGCTCCTAGTAGTGATACCCTTTGCCCCTAGTAGCATCCGTGCTCCTAGTAGCGATGACATTTGTTCCTATTATCTCTTCGCGGAGCCGGTCGTTCCCATCTACGACCGAGTCGCCGTGGCCCTGGGAGGACTTGATGGCGCCGCTGCGCGGGGAGACACGGTTCAACCAGGAGGTGAAACAGCTTAAGGCCCTTCCGCGGCTGCGGCTGCGACAGCGTTGAGTGGATCCAAAGGATGGAGTCTGGCAGCGAGAGAGGGAGAGATAGAGAGAGAGAGTGTTTCACTCGAGCACTGGAGGGTTTGGGTCATTTTCCTCCGGTTTTCACTCCTTGACTCCCCTTGAAACTCTGGACCAAGAACTCAATCCATGGCCTGGATCATTTAGATCTGCCCCAAGTTCAGCCTTTGCCCTGACAAACCGCGTGCAAGAACAGACCAGCAAGATGGAAACACAAACAAGGGGCTGGAAGGAAGGATCTGAAGCATGTTGCATATCCAAATGGTGGGATTCACAGCATATCTTCAGTTGCCAGTGGTAGCCCTGGAAAGGATTCTTCCTGTGGCGAATGGTGCAGGAAGACTGACAATCCAACCAAGTAGCGATGGCCTCCAACCTGATAGCTAAAGTGTGATGTGTTGTAGGGTTCCATTCCAGAGATGAAATAAGGAGGGTCTTCCAGCCTTTCCCCGCTGTCGAGTCGAGAACAACCTTGGCAAGTGGCTAATCTATATAGTCAATCTCAGTGAAGATTCGACAGAATCAGTGGGTGGCACACAGTCCATGGACAAGTCATCCCAAGAACTCAGGAGTCGAGTGTTCCAAAAATGCTTCTGCAGTTGTGGTCCAAAGCATTCCAGCTTGGAAAGACACTTCTCAGTCGGGGCATGAGGGTCCTGAAGCCTTTGTAGTGAAAGGGAGTCAATCAGCATGGCTGGACAGTCCCGAGTGCTGCTAGCAGACACCTCTGCTTTGTTGTACAGATCAATGCTGGGCCGCCAGCCAAGACCATATAGTACCTGAAGACCTGAAGAGTTTTCTTTCCCCCCCTGCAACATCATTGACGAAGACAGTCGTTTTCGTGCGGCCAGAATGTTCCGTTCGTAGCGTCCTTGTTCCGTTCGTAGTAAGGCCAGTTTCGCCCCGATCGTAGCGTCCGATCGCTCCGGACTCGTAGCGATGCCCGAAATGCTCCGTCCTTGTTCCTTGATGCTCCTAGGTATTATCAACTACTAGCGTGGCACTTGTTTCTAATGGCTTCTTGTTACTACTAGTAAGGCACCTGTTACTACTAGCGTGGCACTTGTTACTAGTAGCTTCTTGTTACTACTAGTAAGGCACCTGTTACTACTAGCGTGGCACTTTATTTTCCAAAAATGAACATTCTGCTTCCAACTGGACCGGCGGACCCGTGTGAACACGCTGACCCTTCCGACTGCGCCCCACGCAGTGAACACGAGATCGAGGCACTCGTGGAGAAGGAAGCCCTGCCGGCGCCGGCTTCCGAAGCCAAGAGAGGTCGAGAGGAGCTGAAGGGGAACAGAGGGAGCCGAAGGAGTTGGACGACTTGTGGATTTGTATGATGTTGTCGTTTGGATGACTTGAGTCTTGAAGTAGATATACAAACATCATTATTGGACGTCAGCTGGGGACAGCTGCTGGGGACAGCTGCTGAGCTTGCTGGAGGTTGGCTTGGTTTCTATCTTCTTGAATGTTTTATTTTACATTATTTGCGATCTTCGGCTTGTGGGACCTCGTTCCATCGAATGCTTTCCGGCGTTTACAACTCCAATTCTCGCCTTACTCCACTTGATGCCACATAAAAAGCCGCTGAAAGAAGCAAAAGAAGTGCGATGCGACTGAATGGGCGATCCTTTTCGGAGCCAGGCTTCGATGAATCGTTCACCGCAGCTGTTGGTAGACAGGTCAAGACTGCCATGGTGACGGTCCGGTGACGGTTTGTTGAGGAAACGGTCAGTCAAGGCCGCACCTCTCGGTGTCTACCTTTAGGAGAATAAGCTTCAAGCAGCACGGACTCACTACATGAATCATCTCAAAGTCATCAAACCCACCATTTGTCAAGCATTCTAGTAAGTCCTGGACAACACACATTACAAGCCGCAAGCCTTCCTGTTAACAGCAGCGAAAACAGCCAAAAACCTGCGGCAATGCTATGCCGCTATGCCTATCTATGCCCGGCTAATATCTTTATCATGCTTTCTCCTTCGCACATGTGACCAACGAAAGAACCGACTTGCACTTCCCCCATGACCCTTTGGGACATCGCATCAAGCAACGACGCTTCGTGGTTTCGCTCACCTGGAAGCCGGATCCAGGCACGTTGGAAAGCGTGGGGAGCGTCACTGGATGGGTCCGGATTATGGCCCTCTGGAGGCCAATGAAGTATTGGATAATATGGAAGTATCCATGTGGCCTCCACCCTAATAGCGATGGCCTTCACCCTAATAGCATAAGGACCCTAGTAAGCAAAAGGAACCTCTATAATAGCAATGGCCTCCAACCTGTTGGGTGATGTGGAATGAAGCTGTGTCATTCTGACCAAAAGACTTGATCAGCCTCGGATCCTCAAGAAAATGATCATCCAATCAGCTGATCAGCAGCAAGTTTGGTCCAAATCGTTTTCTTCTTTTCAAAAAAAACTAAGAAAAGGTTCTAGACCTATCTAGACCTCTGAATCTTCAGGGTCCCAAAAGTTGGTTGCACTTTTCTCTACATCAAACGCAGGTTGCGGCATATTTCGATGAAGTCTTCCAGTCTTCCTTTGTGAAAGTAACTTGCGTTGTTGAGTTGGCCAAAGTGGCAAGGGAATTGCTTTAACAATATGACGAAGAAGCAAACCCTGTGGCTTCAAACCTGTGTTTCGAAGTTGTTTGTTTCTTCAATAACGGCTGTTTTTGCTGAGTTGGTGTGAGCCTTTTTGTCCTTTTGGGACAGTCGTGCTGGATAGGTTGAGGCCCAAAACCATCGCGGTGAGCATGGCACGGTGTATACTGTACAGTATGTATATATACGATATACCAAAATATAGTCTTACAAGGTCATGCTGCCCAAAGGACTTCCTAAAAGACGGGAATTGGGGTCTTTGCCTTTACTATAGGTAGGCCCGAAAGATTTGAGGATTTGTTTGACTTGGGGGATAATCCCAGCGAATGCAGAGGCTTCAATCTAGATGGGGCACGACAGTGACAGGGTGGTGAACAAGAAGAAGCACCATGTAGAGAGCTGTTGGGTTGACGCTGTGTACTCTGAATCTGCTACACATCATATATATATATATATTAGACTAAACCTGGGACCTCGCTCCCAAGAAAGGCCAAAAGACCATGAAGACAGGGTCGCACGGGCCCGCCGCACGAGCAGGTGGCTCGCATGGGGAATGGCCAAGGTCTGCAAGGTGCCTGTGAAGATGCAGGCAAGTTATGAGAGTTGTGTTCTTGTGCACCTCATTTTGGTTATTTCTTCACGTTATGCCGTTCTTGATTGACAATGTACTGCACTACCTTAAGGTGGGTGTCATTCCCAGGTTGCAACAATACTGTGGATGAGAGAAAATAAGTGGGTCAAGTTTCCTCCTTGGAAAGTTGTCAAGCATTCCTAGAGGTGATGTAGAAACATCAGCCTGCCCCGTGTTTTCCATGCTCGCTGTCTGGTGGACTGGTCAGGATATCGAAGGATGGAGACCAGCTCCAGCTGCAGATCTGCATGTGTAGGCAGTCCGTTCGTAGGGCGGTCGACACGGAGAATTGGTCTCACAGGTTTTTCCACGAAGGACCACAGCTATGACTTGCCAAGACAGAAATCATGGAGGCACTTCTTTCTCCTTTCGGGATGCATGCAAAACACTGTATATATAGTTATATAGATATATATATATATATGCAGTACTATATAACAATATATATATGTATATTATAGGTGTTCAGAGGATTGGATGGAGTCTGTTTGACCTTCCATTGATGTGAAAGGCCTTCATTGCTGGGTCCAAACAATATATGCGTCTGAGAACGGATGAAGCACCCCGCTTTCAACTCCTTGTAATTGCGATGGCCTCCAACCCAAGAGCGATGGCCTCCAACTTAATAGTAGAGAAACACCCAGTTGCAAAAGACTGAAGCTTGTGAGATCATTTAGTTCCACAGCACAGTCGTCCCACTACCCATGGACATTGCCCCCCCTTAATATTTTTGCAGGAGTCTTTCACCTATTGCCTTTGCGCAGGTGGTCTAATGAAAATGCCTTTGAAAAAATAGAAAAGTTGATGGCATTTTCATAAGGAGTCTTTCCCGGGATTCACCACCTGCCCACTTTGGCTGAGATTATATGTATATATATATATATATCTGGTGAATGCCCCATCAACAACATTCGCACAGTAGCAATTTCAGGTGGCCTCTGGCCAGATGTAAAGCGTAGTCCTGTTGCTCTTTGGCAGCACGTGCCGCCCTTGATATTGTTCCGACAAATATCGCGTATCAAACAACACCTTTTTCGATAATTCTGCACGTCTCAACCTCATAAATTGAAGGAAATGCAATCGAACTGGGTACATCTGGGTACACAAGAGCTGAAAACGCTGTCATTGCCGTCACAGCTGGGGAGGTGCCTTCATTGCTTGCCTCGTTCTGATTCCTGCGACGCTGTACTCTGCAACGCTGCCAGCCTTGCCCAGGGCAGAGGGCCTTACCGCTTTCAGTGCAGGCTCGGGTAGGGTTGTAAAGTTCCGACCCGACTCTTTCCACAGGTTGTAACATGTTGTAACCCATGGCCCTCTGGAGATCTTCTGTTGCTAGTAGCTTCTTGCTAGTAGCGATGCACTTGTTACTAGTAGCTTCTTGTTACTAGTAGGAATGCCCTTGTTGCTACTATGAACTTGGTACTTTAGGTTCTGGAAAGAAGTATAAAGAGTTTCAAGCGAGAAGTGGCCCACCGATGCTGCAGGAGCTCGCAGCGCCGCCAAAGCGTGGACGGAGAACGAGAGGCCCTTTCTCTCGGAGTGTCCGTTCGGTTTGTAACAAGGGCATTTCTACTGGGGCTCCTGGCCTTGCTACTAGTCTCAAGAATGCTACTGGGTTGGAGGCCATCGCTACTAGTAACAAGAAGCTACCCGATGGTCGGTTTGTCGGAGTCTCTTTTGACAGGAAAAAGCTCCTTTTCGCAATCTGAGATGAGCAGGTGAAAACTCCACTCCAAAACACACTCCAAGTCAGTGACTTACAGGGATGTGCGTATAGGGTTCGTGCGCGTGTGAGAATAGCTTTGGTTCCCAGCAGCTGACCAAGAATCTAATTTGTGTTCTTTTTGGACATGCCAGGTGTAGGCATGTGGAACTGAAACTGTGCCTAAAGGTGGCCTTTCAGATTTCAGGATGCACCGAGGAGTGCTGTCTTAGCCACAACACCACTGGCACAATAGTACTCTCAGCTGATCACGCATGCGTCCAATCGTGCAGGCCGGTGATTGCTATTTTAGCCAGCGATTGTGGGATCCTCTACAACTGCAGCTCCTACATCCCTGCATCCTATGTGACTTGACACCACCGGTGGCTGACATTCAGCGGTTCTTCAAGGGACTCAGGGTATTCGCCTGTTGAGCGATTTTGGGGGCAGTAAGGTGGAGACTGTGAGCTATTTTCGAGAAGGTTGATCAATGACCTCTGATTCTCTGGTAGCATTTTCCGAAAATGCCTGAGCAAAGGGTTCTTCATTACAAAAAAGAAACATTTGAGAAACTACTAGTAGTACGGCCAGGAGCCCCTAATAGCGTTAAGTCTTCTCACATCTTCACTTCTTCACATCCATCTTCGGGTGGGGGAGACTAGACCCCACGAAAGTGAACCCTTTGTGCGAATTTGGGTGATCAAGGTGTGAAACTGTCATCAGCTTCAGCGCAAACCGACCGGCTCGATTCTTTTTCGGTGCGCTGTGGGGTCTTGACCCACTAGGGGTTTCGGGTTCAAGTCCCCCTTGGTCCGGCCTGGATGGTTCAGTGCTTCATTGCTTCATTGGACATGTGTGGCTGGAAGCGCGTGGAAATACGTCCGTGCTGTTGGGGCATGGGAAACATGGACATGTCACTCAGTTGCCTTGAGAATGACAGCGCGAAAGAAAACGCAGCAAAGTTTCGACACCAAGTTAGCAATCGACGCCCTCTCGGCCAAAACATCCAGGGCACCAGCACCACGACCATACGAACTCAGCTTCACATGGGCACGTTGAGGTGCAACTACTGCAGCAGGGTGGGGCGCAAGTGGTACCGCTTTACCCTGGCATGAAGGAGCGAATGTGTATTGGACGTGTACCTAAGGGGTGCTGCGGAGAGGTTGTGCAAACCTCGCCAAAGCTGCTGACAGCCTAGTGGCCTAGCTGGGGTATTCTAGGGGGATAGGTCTATAATTCATGCTAAGCGTATCTTTTTTGGGCCTGCGGATCAGGCCACAGATGCTCTAAGCCGAATGATGGGCCCCCCTATCTTCCAGGAGTGTGAGTGCCCTTTGCCTTCGTGGAATGGGAGAAGGGCTTGCCCACTTAGTCACAGGTGCAGTGCTTCAATCCTCCTCTGTCGCCATGTCACAGGAGGAGGAATTTGACCATGTTCTGTCGCACGTCAATGGCGTGATGACCATCGGAGGTGGGCTCGAGATTGGGGCGGGACTGATTTCCGGGCCAGCGAGGGCGGGGCAATCATTGTTGTGTCGGACATATCCCTCAGAAGGTCCGGATGACCATGCGTCGTCCTTTACGATTTGACGTCGTCCGAACTTGTGTTCCGTGCGGCACCAAATCGTGAACTGAAGCAATGAGTCATCAGGTCCCCTCAGCTGTCAGCTGAGTCCGACTGGGAATTGGTGCTGCAACGAGCGCTCCGAGTGGCCGTTGAAGGTTGGTGATCCACATGGTGTAGGGAGGGCTCCACCGTGCACGGTGTACGGAGGTACTCCTTCTTTTCTGACTCGTGGTTGGGTTTGTTTTGCGGCAACCCCCATTGCATCTGAAACATTTTCAATTACCCACTGGATGGTCGCTAAGGAATGAGCCCATGAGAGGAAGCACTGTGGCCGGCACTTTTCTCCAACGTGCCCGCAGGTTCTAGTCCCGTGATCCTGTTGAATTTGCAATAGCAATGCTTCTTTTTCTTAGGCCTTTTGTTGATGGAAGATAGTAATTGCTGCAGCACCTGGGATGGACACAACAACCATCAATATCCTACTAGAGAGTCCCCTATGCCGCCTGCAGGCTTCTTCAAGATGAATGGCACAGCGGACGTATACATGCGGAAGATCTATGATCACGTGCTCGGTCTGAGGGTCCGTACCGTCCATTCAACCTGGGGTTTCAGCAACGATTCGGCTGGAATTGAACGAGGGCGGCTGCGGCGGCAGCATCATCTCGGAGATGTGTTTCATCGGGCTGTGGCTCAAGCAACAAGCTCTTTGTAGGGAAATCTGCAGGTTTACTTTTCTTCACTTTACAACTAGGTTTGGGATGTATGTTATTCTTGAGCCATGTATAAATTATTTACATATACAAGACACAGTTTTAAAAAACTAAGATATGAAGACTGCCACAAGCTGTTACTTGGGGCAAGATCCCGTGCTTTGTGCACTCCCGTTTGATTTTTGTTTGGAAGACGGCCACAACCAATCTCGGGGTTCCTAGGGACCACTGACATCGGGAAGTCTTGCTATCGGTGCAGCTTACGTTAATTTCACAAGCCCTCCACCTATCAAGTGATGGCAACCTGAAGGGACCTTTAACCTAAGAGCGATGACCTCCAACCTGTATGCTTTTTTGGGGGGGTTTCTCTTGGTCTCTCTACGAAAGCAACTTCGTTTTCAGGTGGTGTCCGCCACCAAGCGCGGAGAGATCTTCCCCTTCTGGGCGACCTGTGCAGCTCGGATTGGTCGGCACCCACGGACCACTGGCACGGACCCTGCACGTTCAATGTTCACTGCAAAAGGAACCGAAAGAAGCAATGGTCTCCACCTAGTAGCGATGGCCTCCAACCGAGTTGCTCTGAAGAAGGAAGAAGGAAGAAGGAAGAAAGAAAAAAAAATAGTAACAAGTGTCTTCCTTTCCTCTCTTGATGCCATTGGAATCTTAGAACACCTTCTGAACCCTGGGCTTCTTAAGCGGTTTTTTGGATGAGAAGGAATAATGTATATAGGGTGAGGGAATATGATGCAAGGATCGGGTAGAATCGGGGGTGACAATACTTTGCTTTCCATTTTCTTTTGGACCTTTGTTTTATTGAAGCCATGCAAGCAGTTGTACCAATAGATTACATATGTCTTCGATATTGCCAGCAGACAGAACTCTACATGCCATGCGATTTTCACAAACAAGCAACTTGCTTTCACTGCTTGACGAAGGCAATTAATTCCAACATTCTTATTCTACGAGGATGCTATTTTGGTTTGTGTGTGGGATGAACACCGAGAAAGAACAGAAAGAGGGATCTTGAGCAAAGCCTTGCAGAGCAAGATCAGAGACGCTGGCCCACGTGTGCTTTTTGCAACAGAACGGGGTAAGGTTGGCATCCATGACATGGTGCAGCTGGTCTCTGGGAAGGTCTATGCTGATTTCCTGACGCGTGGCTTGGCAGAGGCCATTGCTCTTAGGTTGGAGGCCATCGCTACTAATGTTGACATAGGATTAATGCACCCCCCCGCTATTAATCAAGCCCAGCTCGAGCCTCCAATACTAACTAACTTAAAACCTGAACTTCCACCTTGGCATCCGCCTAATATTATTTTTCCTGTCCAGAACCCCTCCATACTAATCAAGCCCAGCTGCCCCAGAAAAAGACATGTAATTAGTTTGTTGTTTCATATAATATAGTTATTGGCATGGCTCTATCAAGCTTGTGCCAATATGCTCAGCGCTCTCAGAATCCCATCAACCATCCACCACCATCATCCAGTCCAGGTTACCACCTTTATTAGGGGGGGATGTGGTCCTCCAATACCTCCAATCTCAAACCTTGTTGACCTTGCGGGGGCGTTATCGACCTTAGGGTCATCGCTCTTAGGCTCTGTTCTCCCATCGCTAGGTTGGAGGTTCCCTTGGCGCGACGAGCGTTCCAAACTCTCCGGACGGGCTCCGTGACAGACCACATGGCGATTCTCCGTTGGTCCGGTCCACTTGGTCCAGACCCCCGGTCTTGGTGGCGTACCAGTGTTTTCGTCTCCAACATGGATGTGTACCAGTGTACCCGTCACATTCTCCTGAAAGCACATTCTTCTCTTAGACGGATGTGTATTGCAAGAGAACACAGTTGAGAGGAACACCTTTTTTCCAGAGGAGTCATGGCCAAACCTCCCATCAGTAGGGATGATACACTTTATGAAATAAGCGGTACTTGTAGGTGTTTCCAACAGGCCAGTTCACTGCAATTGAGACACCCCCAAACATGCCATCTGATGCCATCTGATGCCCCTTGGTTGCACAGTGTCGGAATTGTAGAAACCAGGCACCTACGAGGACCGAGTTGAGGCACCTACGCGGAGAACCTGGCGCTTCCACTGCATTTTGAGCCTAGCGCTGACTTGAAATTGCTCTTTGATGAGGAAGTTCTGCCAGGCGGGTAGGGGTTTCACAAGGTTTCACACGGTTTCACAAGTGGGTCAACTGTGGGGTTGACTCCTCGCTGTTTGCTTCTTATTCAACTGATGCCTCTTTACATGTTTGCACTCCGCTGGGACTTGGGGTGTGCATGAGTTGCATCATCCAACTACACCGCACTAAAAACTCTTGGCACAGCCTTCTCAAGACGCATCTGATTCTTCTGAATTAAACTAGTCTTGGATTGCGCCAAGAATCCTGTGGGAGGGTACACCTCCTTTGCAATGATTTGTATGCCGGCATGATTGCGAGCTACATCAACACGAACATTTGTAGCTACATTGATTGGCTGGCTTTTTGTGGAATGGTCACGGGCAAACTGCGGCAGTTTCTTTTGTAATTTTTAGATATTTTTAGGCTGTTGGTTCAACTGCGCTCTATGTTGTTTCGATTCCTGATCGAGAAGCACGGTCGGGGGCAGACTTGCTACTTCCCGCAGAAGGGAATCGGCAGATACCATAACTGCGAAGTCAGACGTTTCATCCAGAGAGAAGGAAAGACCTCTCGGACCAGAGGCCCATTTGTGTGTTTCCGTGCGCCATTTGTTGCAGGCTCCAGCACCCTTCGACGCTGGCTCTCGGATGAGCCACTCACCTTTCATCACCACCAGTGGGGCATCACGCCCAGCACCTTTCATGGCATCAAGGCGGGAAGTTGGGAAGTACCGGCCGCCATGGCCATGGGAGTTGGGAAGTACCCAAAAGCCATGTTTGGGCCTTCAAATCCTGAAACGAGAGGTACACAACGTATGCAGCGCTTAGATTGTAGCAATGCCAGGTTCCAGTAAGACTCCCTGCTACCAATCGCAAGTGGGAAGCGAACTGAACTGTTTGTAAGTGGGCCAGCCACATCATTGGAGTTCAGATCTGATCTTTTGCCGGAAACAAAGCTCATGATGCTGTGTCCACTTGTTCATCCACCAGTCAATTCCAACTTGTTAACTTGTTGGTCAGTTTCACAGAAGATAAAGCGAAGCACGCTAAGGTTTCAAACCAAACCCTTCAGAGGTTTTGCTTTTTTGGTGGTTTGCAGTTTGGATGTACTGTCCTTGATGCACTCATCCAAGTCATTGTCAGGAGCTGAGGGATGGCTTTCGAATCCTGGCCACCAGTGAAGATCGCAGTGGCACAACCTTCATCTCCTTGTTGCAGGGCCGCCACTCGGATTGGGACTGGGAGGAGGCGCAAATGGGGCGATGGAGCAGGCGACCAGACGTGTTGTCACACAAACACACAAAACTCTTTGGGCTCCATTTTTCCCAGAACATGATGGAAGCACATCACGTCACACAACTTTCACTCTTGTCATGAGGCTTTCAAGAGTGGAACTGCCCAACGGGTACATGGGCACTATTTTCACGAAGAGAGCCCTTTGCAGAAGGTCTTGCAAAGGGCCCTCACCAGTGACGGATCTACCTTCCATGAGTGGATTGGTTGGGAGCAGGCATGACGCACTTTGTGGCATCGGGACGAAATAAGAAGTTATATAAGTGGTATAGGTCCTATGGGTTCTTCACTTGCGTGAGGTCAGCATCCGCTCTTTGCTTCGGCCTTCCACCCCGAGAAGCCCGCCTTCGAGTGGGGCTATCACACTTCCGGGCTGCTGCAGAACACAGCGATCCCTCACTCCCGACAGGTGCGGGGCAGTGGCGTTCTTCCGCTGCAGTGAACCGTCTTGAGGAATTTCGTTGTTCGGCGAATCCGTTTGCACTTCGTTACTGAGATGACCTCCCAGCGAGGTCCTAAAACGAAGTACTTTGCAATAGACGGTCTCACGAGCCGTCAACGGATCTCAGGGGGCCCACCGGAATACTGGGAGCAAGGACGCTACTAGGGGCTCCTGGCCTTACTACTAGAAGCAAGGACGCTACTAGGGGCTCCAGGCATCGCTACTAGGAGCAAGGATGCTACTAGGAGCTCCTGGCCTTACTACTAGAAGCAAGGA